GCAGCCGCGTGCTCACACACGGAGGCGGCGCCTCGCTGTGGCTGCGCGGTCGCTAACCGGTTGTGGGTTAGCCCGGCCTCCAGAGAGAGCGCTTCCTTGGGGCTCGCACCCTGCTCCAGGTCGTCGGAAGAGAAGTGACGCGGGGACCGAGACCTGCCTGCCTGGGCTTCGCGTGAAGCCGGAGGACAGGCGGCTGCCCAGGGTCGGGTCTGGAAAATCCCCAGTCTGTCTGCAGCACGGCCCTTTCCAGTTTGCCTACACTTTGAGGGGAGGGCTGCTTCTGAGAAGCTCTTTGCCTTTTCCAGATTCCACATCCGGAAAGCTGTGCTTCCACTCCCTCGTGCCGCGTTTCCTGGGGGGTGAAAGTCACGGGAAGCGCAGAGCAAAGCCTTCTGACCCCACGCCAGTTCCATCGCTCACTGGGATGTGGGCATCTGTGGCCACTTGTCCTGCCCAGGGTGAGGCTTAAAATTCTCTCCTTGCATTGAAGTCTCTAAGAGGGAGATAAGTTTTATGATCTTTTCACACATGGAAAAATTAAGGCTCCCGTAGTAATTAAGGAACAAGAAAACTGAGATCACTGCCCAGTTAAAGTCGGCGCCTGAACTATTCCTGTCACAGAGATTAGGCATCGAAAAGGCAGGAGCTGTTGTAATTGGAAATAATGGTAGCACCGGTGGTTAGCGGGCATTCAGAGCTGTCTGTGGATTCCATACCCACTGCATGGTGCCCACACACAATAGTGGTTGAATTAACCATGGGGGAGCGCGACTCCTTTCTCACCATCGTAAAAACTCACAGTCCGATCCGAACCTGATCGCAGTTTTCAGACTGAAGACCCAAAGGCTGAGGATGGAGTCTTCATTTTCACACAGAAGTTCGATAAAACAGGGACAGCCACCTAGAAATATGATGGGTAAAGTGGCAAGGCCAGTGCCCAGCCTTGGCCTCTCCGTGCAGCCCTCCTTCCTCTTGGGACAGGGCTGCACCCTCTCAGAGATGGCAGTCTAGTGATCCACTAGCTGACAAGGTAGGTCAGAGTATCTTCCTGGCCAGGGAGGAAGAGAGTCAGATCCTTGTGGGTTTGAAGGCTGGGTTGCGGGGAAGGGTTCTGGTTTCTGGGAGGCTTGGGAGGAGGAGTGTTGGGTTCTCTGAATTGCTTCCAGGAAGGAGGAAGGAACTGCTTCAAAGCCCGGCTCTGGTCAGCGTCTCCATGCTTCAGTTTCCAGAATATATTTGTGAATTAAATGAGAAAGTGCGCAGACGCACACACACGTACACATGCACATTTCATTGAGCAAGACCGTGCTGCAAGACAGACAGCACCTGTCACATCCGTACTGTGGCAGGCTCTCCAAAGGTGCCGCACCAACGGAATGCAGTTAGGATCCCACACTAACTGAAGTCAGAAGCATTGTTTCCTTCTGAGCTGTGGCCCGGCACTTGATTTGCACAGCCCCGGCTCTCATGCTGCTCCAGGGCAAGCCTCTGCCACATTATGCACGCAGATGTGTCAGCGAGTCGCTTTTGGCCCCTTCCATGTTCCTGTATGCATCCCTGACACCTATGGGTCCTTGCACCTCCAGCCCCAGAACTCACCTGCAGTGACAGAACATATCGGTGTCAGTAACAACAGCCACTACTTAGTGACTGTCCCCTTGACAAGAATTTGCACACATTGAGACTGAGAGTTTAAGAAACTTGTCCAACCTAACAGTCTATAATGGGAAAATTCAAGATTCAGACCCAGTCGTTTAGTCTCAGAGCAACATGCAAGGGGTGATCAGAACATATGGTGAATGTTTAGACTAAAAAGTATTACAGGTAAAGACGCACTGCCATGAATCCCCCTCAGAATCCTCCCTTCACTTCGAACACATCCGTCGTTCGTGCCACTTTCTGCTTCAGCTCTGGAAGCTGTGGCTCTATATGAGGTACGATCAAAAATACAGTGAATGCTGCTACCGGGCAACTCATAAAAACAGTGCTGTGTCCTCATCCACCTGATTCACTGGATCTGGCACTGTGACTTCTGGCTCTTCCCCAAAGTCCAAGTAAACAGGAAAATGTCTGGAATCAATTCGGGACGTCAAGGCAGCTGGGACAGCAAAGCTAAAGACGCTCAGGAGAGAGGACTCCAGAGCTGCTGCGGGAAGCGTCCAGGACGGTGGGACGAGTGTGTTTGAAGCACAGGGAAGAGTCTCAGGGAATTAATGACACTGTGTCTTTTACTGTACGTGGTTCACCCAAACACCCCGGTTTATCTTTAGAACAATCAAAACCTGTTTATTTGACCTACATTCCATGGTCAGTGTTTCCAGTGGGGAAACTGACCCATTGCTGTGATAACTGTTTGCAGAATTCAGCCTCTGTGCTTGTTCCATGGCGGTGTTTCTTCAGTGGCATTGGGATCCAACCTGAGCGTTCTTCCAGATGTGCACAGTGCTGTGGAGAGTCAGACACTTCCTTTATAGCACAGGTTTACAAGTGAAAGGTGCTGCTTTTGTCTTCAGGGAACTAAAATGTTGGAGAGTTTGTTTTTTCTTTGAAAAAGTCCCAGGTGCCAGGATCAGGCCTTCTGCCTCAGCACTTTTGGAAATCCATGAATGTTCAGTAAGAGACCTATGGGTTTCTGTTCTTTTTGAACCATAATACTCATGATCAAAATGTGTGTGTTTGTTGTGTGTCAGGGATACTTAAAGTATAAATCCAGAAGTCCTGTCCGATTATATTGTGGTACAAAATATATTACATGACTTTCATATTCTTTCCCCAAAACTTTCCTTGCAAGCGAATCATCTCAGAATTCAGATTTACCTCTGTGTTCCTACAAGTGCAAAAAATAACAGGTTCCTGAAGATATTTTTGAGCCTTTTAATATACATTACAAATATTTTAGACCAATCACATTTTGTTGTGTATAACATATTTACAAAACAAAAAATATATTACAATAAATATGAGGGAAACAGTGAATCAGACCAACACCAAGCTCTGTCACAACCAGGTAACTAAAAGAATGCAAAAAACTTGTTGGCCTGCATAAGTTAAGGGTCGTGAGATAAATAGGGGTCCAGAATGATAATGTATCTGGGAAAGAGTTGAGGGAAACCCCCAGATTTAAGTTAAGTAAGATTATTCTCATTGCTAATTACAGAGGGTTTAATGCTGTTTTAAAATGTGAACATTATTCAAACATGATACAAAGCTAATAGAGTTTCAAAATGTACATGACAGCCACGTAGTGCCTTTTAATTATCATTATATACTGTAGTTCACACGATATCTACAAATGGAAATGGGAAAAGAAACAACAGGTCACAGCAACATGTCTCACATTCCAGTTTTAAATAAGACAAGCACACACTGGGTCAAACATTATTTTATAATATGTTAATAAATAATACCTAGGTTGATATGGTTACTTTGAACAGTTTTGGCTGTATATTTAAAAAGAGAACATATTCTGCAACTTTCACATTGTCAGTAAAATAGAAAATAAATAACCTTTATAGCCAAAAAAAGAGATCTCTATATAGAACTTAAAATATTTTTGACATGCTGCCTTTTCTGTAATGCCGCAAGAAAATTAAAGCAAACAAAAAGTGATTGTCTTTTAAAAACAACTTTTGAAAGCTTTTCACAAATTGAGTACGAACCTTTTAAGATCAGCATGAAAATCTCCTGCCCACCTGCTCCATGCACATATATTATATATAATATAAAATATATATGCACGTGCTTGCTGCCAGATCGACAGAAGTCACAGAAGAATGAACTGCTTATCTTGAAATGAGAACCAGCCAAGACATGGAACTAAAATCCAACCAGGCTGAGGTCTGGAAAAGTTTCATTCTTGATTTGCTTCCAAAAAGGTCCCTGTATGAATTCATGTGGGCCTCCAACTCCCTTTAAAGTAATAATCCCCACTGCAAACATCCAGGGGTCCAGACTCACCGGAGATGGGGGCACCTGGTCCCTTAAAGCAAATACTGACAAAGCCACTGAGTCCATCCAAAGGGGGCACCATGGGCCACCCCTTCTCCTGAGCAACATTCTGTCCCCTTGTGCCATAGTGGCTCATAAAACCTACAGAACACCAAGTCCACACCAGCCTTGGGTCCTGACGAACTGCAAATGGACCACCCTGCTCTTACAACCTACTTCCAGCTGAGGACATTCTCCTGGCAAAGGAAAAGAAAGAGCATTACACGTTATGGCAAAACGAGAAGTGTCATTCAAAATGGGCTTCAAGTTGTTCTGGTGGTAAGACTTTCTTTCCTCATCCACAGTTTTCTAAGGGGAAAGGAAGGCAACAGCCCAACATCCTGCCCACAAGTAAAGATTTCTACATCTTCGGAGTTCCTGTGTTCTCAGCCAGCATTTGCACTAAGAGACAGTTTATCCTGGAGAACGTTCGGCACCCTCATCCCTCCCAACACTCCAGCTTTGCTCACTGGCGCTCCTGACAGAGAGACATATACAGTATTGTGCTACAGGCCATAGGGGTTAAAAAAATACTTGGTGGTTATGTTCCTGGGATCTGTGCAAAGCCTTTGCTCAAAGATATCTTACCAAGGAAAATGAAAATCCGTTCTTTAAAACCATCCAGCAATCCTATCATCAGGACCTTGGCTCCTTGATCTCATTCGCCAATGAGATGGGTGACTCGCCTCCATCTCTGGTGGCCTGAGTCTTCCATCTCCCGCAGGCAAAATGCTAGGCAGGCCCCCCAAAAGGTAGGCGGAATGTCGACCTCTGCAAGGTCACTCTACAAAAGCTCCTCTCACGCTTTGGCTCTTTTATGGCTGGAGGGAACTCAAGAAACCAAATATCCACATTCCTTACCATGAGAAATTAATTCATTAGTAACTGAACAGTTTAGTACTGGAAATACATTACTGGAGTTTTTGGTTCATCTGTGGAAACCTCAGAATTGTGATGCACACTAAGCATTAGCACAGGTCTGCAGCTGAGATAGAAAAGCTCACACATTAATACAAGGGCTTTTGTCCTTGGTTCTCGAATTCAGACCAGGCATCATTGAGCTCCATGAAAATCATCTTTGCATATTGTTCATAGGGTTGCCCAGTCGCCTAGAGAAGAAATGGAAACACATATTAGATCCCACAGACCAAAACTGTATTCATAATTAAATTCACTGCTCATGTGGGTCCTAAGTAACTCAAAAGCATTTCTGTTACGATACTTCTTTTTTGACAGTCTAGTCCAGGGATGGTGAACCTTTTCGAGCTTTCAGTAACAAACAGCTCCCCATGGCACATGTGCCACAGGCTTGCCACCGCTGGCCTAGTCTACGGGATTTAATTACTTTGGCCTCCCTCGAATGCCATCCTCCTGGAAATGCACAGAGTGGATCACACTCGGGCAGTAGGTGGACAGCAGGAGCCTTCTGGGTGCTACAGATCATCTCCATCCTTCAAAGTTTCTACCAAAAATCAAAGCCTACTGACAGCCCATCTCTCAGTGACTATATTTTTAAAGTTCCATTTTCCAATTTCTATAAAAGCTAAGCTCTTCAAGAGTCATAACAGGGACATACAGTTTGTGGATTTTTCTGGATTCCTATTTCTCCTTCAAGTGATCAAAATTTAAGAAAGATGTTTCCCATTAAGTCTTTTATTCAAAGTTCATTTTTAAAATGTGAAGAGATGGAAATCAAATACATGAGATCCAAGAGTGGTACCAGGAGGCCTTTGCGTCATCACGTCACATCACACAACTGGGCCTGTTCACATGACACCAGGACTTGGCCTCTGTCTATGACGGTTTATGAATATGGTGATTTCAACTAGGTGGGGTAACAAGTCTCCAACAGTGTCGTCCACTTCCGTGCATGTATACATCGATGAAAACGTCAGCTGACACAAAGTGACGATGGCTTCAGTTTTATTTTTAAATTTTTGTTGATGACCACTAATTCTGCCAACTACATTCTAAAGCTTTTGCTCTACAATCCTGGCTAAACATACTGTTCATCTCCTGAGGGGAAAGTTTCCTTGTATAGCTGTCAGCCTCATCTTACTCTTGTGGGTCAGGATTCCACTGAAACCCTAAAGAGGAGTCAGGCTCTCCTACATGAGTGCATGTTACAGTTATGCAAACGAAGTCCCAGTCCCATTCTTGGTAGTATACAGCTTGATTTCTTTTTGCCCACTTTGCAAAGTGCATTTGTTTACACACCTGATTTTAACCCACAGACTTAGTTTTAATAAATAAACGATCTAACAAGCCAGCAAATGGAACCTGTAATGTTTTAATACACACTCATAAACTAACGAAGTGGAGGAGCACGGCCATAATCCCAGCACTCGGGAGGCTAAGCCAGGAGGATCACTGCGAGTTTAAGGCCGGTCTGGGCTACATAGTGAGTTCAAGGCCAGCCTGCACCACACAGGGAGACCCTGTCTCGAGAAACAACAACTAAAATAATGCCTGAGGGCAGAGCAGTGCTGGGCAGCGAGGCCGTACCCACCCACCTTGTCCGGGTGCACCACCAGCACAGCCTTCCGATACACCTTCTTCACCTGCTCCGGCGTCACCAGGTCCGCCATGCCCACAGGTTTCCACCTGGTCTCCCCAGCCCACAGCACCGTGTGCATCGTGGAGAGAAGGGCTCTGATATTCCTCTCCTTGCCTTCTATCCATTCCAGGATCTGGAAGTGAGGAGGGGATTACGAGGTAGAAATGCTTTCTGCTCCAGAGGGGTCTAACTGGGACTGGAAACGCATCCTGATCCCTCAGCGCCAGATGTGGGGCTGCCCTGCGGCCTCCCCGCTATTCCTCTGCCTGGAGCGCTTTGCCCCTCCACCACCTGCCCTCCTGCTCATCTTCATCACCCTGCACAAGCTTACTCAGAGGCCACACAGCTCTCCCCTAGGGGCCTGAGTCCCTGCTTCTGTGGCCCCTACAGTTAATAACATGCTCCTATAGAACGCACTCTGCGGTCACAGCGGCTTGTTTTGCTGCCTGGACTGAACAGATCCCTCTCTAAAAAGCATAGCTCGCCTTGGCAGCTCGACCTCAGGCCGTTCCTGTCGTGGTAAGGGCCACACCGTAATGTAACTGTGCGGGGACCTGACCCAAGGATGAATGGTTAAACTGCGGGACAAAAGCAGGCAGGCTCTGTGGGGAGTGAGCGGATCAACAAGAAGTTTAGATTAGTGAAGCAAGTTGTGCCCGACCACTGCCCTTCCCCTGTGCCCAAGAAAAACTGCCGCGCCTTGTGACAGCTCCTGGCCCAAACTGCTTTACTCCTTTCTTTTGCACTGATATTCTAAATAAAAGCCAGAGAGGGCGCGGCGTCAGGCCTTTTTCTCCAGGAAGTCTCCCTAACGCTGGACATTCTCTGTTGAAACAGCCCCTCTGGGCCTCTCGGTGACCAAACTAAGTCTCGTCTCTGAGGAATCCTTCATCCTCCATGCCGCCCGGGGTTGCAAACGCCAACATTAATTAGCGTGTGCTCGCCTGTTTGAGGAAAGGCACTGAGACAGAGCACCGAGGTGAGGACAACTTCCAGATGAAGTACACTCCCACTACGGCGAGGCCTCCACGTCTACACAGGGCCGATCAGAAAAGTGCTGTTTCGGACCAATCGGAAACTTGCTATCCTTAGTCTCTCATCGGAACCCAGCGCTACTCACAGGACCAGTCCGAAGGTGCTCTTTTCCAGGCTTCATTTGCATCTGGGCACAACACATCAAAAGACACTGTTTCTGACCCTTCATTTCATGTCCCAGGAAGCTGCATGAGGTTTTCGGATAGTGTGGTGCCAAGTGTTTATAGGACAACTTTCACAAAGCTTTGCTTACAGGGAAGTGAGCGCCTGGGAACTGTGGGAATAAAGGAGCCCTTTCCCTTGTGTCCTCAGGGCCCCTGTGAGCCTTCCACCGGCCACTCTAGCTCTGCAGAGCATACTTCTCTTCTGCCTTCAGAAATGTGCACTTTCCCTACCTCTTCGGTGTGTTGTGTGGGACTCTCTGTTCAGGACACTGAGAACCAGGAGAGAAGCCCAAGGGCCCTCCACCTGGTGCAGTCAGCACCCAGATAATGCATCTACACAGACTAGAGCTCAAAACAGCTGTGAACGAACTGATGCACTTATTCATTTATTCAGATTGTAAACATTCATAGTTTGAATCTCTATGATGTGAACAACTGAGATGACTAAGTTGGAAGAATCACAAAAATGCAACGTTTTTCAGCCCCAGGAGGAGTTTGACAGCATCTGCTGTTGGCTAGGGAATCAGTCTCAGCTGACTGTGGGGCTCTCCCTGGCACTAAATATCCTGTACTGATCAAATAACCAAGCATGATTGCGGAGAAAGACAAAAAACAAAACAAAAAAAAACTTTCCTTTATGGAGACCTGTCAGATTTTTGCCTAATGAACACAGGTTATAGGGACACAACAGGTGGTATTCAGTGTCTGTGATGCTATGTCCTGTGAGAAGCAACTGCAAATGATGGATGGTACATTCTATTTTTTTAAATATTAAAGGATATACCTATCTTCAGGTACTACCAAATCTGTCAGGAAGTGATGGAGAAGAACAGTGATATTTTTCCTCAACATGTACAAGACCTATCTGCTGTGAAGTCCTGGTCTGGGAGACTGTTAAGGCAGGGACAGGTTCCGTTCCTTACACTCAGCCTCTTGTATTTTATCATGCAGGAATGGAACCTTGACGTCTGTGAAGGTCGTTCCTATTTACAAACGCTCGCACAGCCTTACACATTTGGCAGTGTAACTGCTCTCTGTCTCCAAGCTACTCTGCATCTGCCTATCCACACCCAGTGTCCTTATCTAGGAAACAAGGGGCTTGGATTCAGTGATTTGCAAACTTTTTTAAAACATAAAAGCAGGGCCTGGGATTTAGCTCAGTGGTGCCCAGCCTGCCTCTAAGCGCAAGGTCCTGAATTTGATCCCCAGTACCAAAAAAGAAAAGTAAAAGCATTCTTTATTTTTCCCCTAAACTGAAACTCACCTAGACCTTCAGAATCAAAAACAGATGAAAATAAATTGATTTCAAAGTAGAGAGAGGCAAGGGAGGCGGCCCCCTCGGGCTCCTCTCCACCCGGCAATCTCTGGGTCTCTGTTAGGAGTGTAATCCCAGGTACGGGAATATTTCTCTCTCTATCCACACAGAACAGATTCTTCTAATAAGAAGCTTTCAAGGCAGAAGGATACAAACAGTGCATTCTTCTCCCCACCAAATTCTAATGATTCATCATCAGAATCTGGATAACAAATCATATCTTAAAGAGTGCCAGGGAAACGAGGAGCTCTATACAGTACTACCAAACCAAGGGCCAAAATTTACTATGCTAAAGAAATTCAAAAAGATGAAATTTAGCAGCACATGCAGCTCCTCCAAAGGTATTCCACAGTGAAAGGGCACAGCTGTGCTCACATTACAGCTCCAGGGACCCACGGAAATTCTGCAGCTGCCAGAGCATGGCCCCTCCCAGACATGCCGTGTTGGAAGGCTGTGTCCCCCTCAAGTTGATTTGATGAGATCCTAGCACCCAGGTGATGAAATTAGGAGGGAGGGCCTCGGGAGCTGATTAGACATCAGGTTAGCTCAGACAGGGACAAACTCCTGGCCCTGCACCTGTCACTCGGGGACAGCATGATCTCTGACTTCTTCAGAGGCAGTCAGGGACCTGAGGGCTGTCTCTGTGCTCAAGAACGGTGACTCTTCGCTCTGCCGTGCAGATGCTCAATCGGCAACTAAAAGCAGAACAAAGCCCGACCTTCATTCCGGGTCTGTCTCCTTTATCATCTGTAAACCCTGGGCCAGGCGCCCGCCCAGCTCTGCAGAGAAGAGGCACGGGTCTGAAAGTTGGTGGAACAGGGCTGCTGAGCTCTGAATGAACCTATGCCGTCTCCCTGCAAGACTGAGGACACCAAGATAAGAGATTCACAGGGGCATTCACATGACCATGACAGCCCAGAAGCCTCCAGTCATTGCCCTATTCAGATGGTCACCCTGGGTTACAGCAGAGCCTCCAGGACCGGACTCCCCGCAAGGAGCAGTCGTGTCATGGAGACCAGGTGTCCATGGGGTATAGGGACTCCTCCCCGAGCCACCTTTCAAAGCGAGAACCAAGGTGATGGCTGATCAGATTCTCACCCACCCCAGCTAATCCGTAAAGGCCGGTCTCCTTCCCCCAGTCCCCAGCCCCTCTGCTCCTCTTCGTCAGAGCCATGTGCTCTCCAGCCCTCGCTGCAGCCCCTTCCCTGTTTTCTGTTACTTTCCAGCACTGATGAAGCTGAGGTTCCACCTCCTCATCCCCACCCAGCGACAGCTCCACACACGACCTGTCCTGGAGCATTTCCCACTGAGCTGGGGGCTCACTCACCTTTAACTTTTCCGGATCCATTTCTTTGGCCATCTCCTCTTTTCTCATTTCAGCTATTGTTCGAGGTCCCTTCTTGTCTTTGTGAGCATTGAAACCTTGACTAGAAAGTAGGTCTTCAAAGTCAGCTGCTCTTTGTTTCCCATCTGCAATGTAAGTTTTGAAAGTCACTGTAGTTTTAATTTTTAAAAAGAATATCACATCACGGGGCAGAGAGTCTTCAAAGTGCTCTGTGGACGCTAATCCTCTGAACCCTCCCACTTGGGCTATGAGTAAGGTAAACGACCCTCGTGCCCATGTAAGTCAAGGAAAGGGAAGCCCAGAGAACTTAGGAGACCTGTCCAGTTCATGTGCGTGGCAAGGTTAAGACCGGGGTCTGGATCGTTCAGCCCAATCCCATTTCCTTTGTGCCTTCTTTTGATGAAGATACTTGCGACTTCTCCACCACAGCTAATTAGTGCCCGGGATGGGACGCAGGCTTGAAATGTGTGCAGGCTATTCCTTCCCTGCCCGCGCCAGAGGACAGTGCTAGCTGAGCCTAGTGCTCTTTCCCTACAAGTCCAGCTGTGGCCTCTCAATCTACGTCAGTCCATTCAGAGAGACATCCGAGCGTGGCGGCAAGGAGCAAAGACTGGAGCCAAACCCACAGGGCTAAGTTCCAGCTCTGCCATGCGTTAGATGCGGCCTCGGGCATCCATGTCTACTGGGCCATCACATTAGGGCTGTGAAAAGGCACCTGTGTCATAGCATGCAGTGCGGCAGTGCTCAGGAGCCAGGAGTCGGATCCTGGCTCTGGAACTAACAAGTTGTATAAACTTAAGAAATGAGGCCATTGACCTGTAAGGCAGATTCTTCACACAATAGTGAGTTTGTCTTCAAGCCTATACAAAATAATGCGAAAAAACTACATGAATAACATGAAAAATGCCTAAGATAGCAACTGGCATGTAGTGCTCGATGTGACGCCCAGTCAGCTTCAGCTGTTGCTACCTAGCAGAGTGGAAGAGTTGCCTCCCCACAGAGAGTGAGGAGAGAGGCTGTCCCTTCTGTCCCTTCACCTTGATCCCACATATCTCACTGTCAAGTCTGACCACAAGGGAGGCTTAATAACCAGGACACATGCACCCTTCTCGGTGGGGCCCATGGGAAAATCCAAACCCAGTTCCAGAAAGGGGCCCAACCTTTTTCTCCCATGCCCTCTAGAAAAAGAGTAACAGATGCAGCCACCACTCCCCTAGAATCACTGCCTACTAGACACCAAGCACTTGCTTCTGAGAATAATGTGACAAACAAAACACAGTCCCTACATTCCACAACATTCTAGTCGGGAAAGAGACAAGTAAACCAGCAGTCACAAAATGGCACACGTGTTCATCATGATCGGTCAACTTGAAAGGATTAAACCTGCCCAGCAGATGAGAGCAGCACAGTTCCAGGTGTGTGTGGCTGATTGCCATCTAGGCCAGCAAATAGAAGGGGGAGCCCCACCCCAGATGTGCATGGCACCAATCAAGGGAAAGAAGTGTCCCCACTTCTAAAGAGCTCCAGACTGCACACTTGTCTTTGGACATTAGTCTTGAGTTTCTTCAGTCGCTGTGACTCTCCAGGGAGATTCCAGGCCTTTGACCTTGGGCTGGTGCTGCGTTCTTGACCCCTCTCATTCTGTGGCTTCCATCTTGGGCTGAACAGCTGCTGGATCCTCTGCTTCTCCAGAGCACAGGAGGCCGGTGTAGATGCTCCCACATCCGACCCTATGAGCTGCCTGAAAAAATCCCCTGACACAATCACACTTCTGTTTTCTATGGATCTGCTCCTCTAGGAAATCCTAAGTAATGCAGCATGTTTGGGCACAGTGCACCTAGAGTGTGCAGAACACAGCACTGAGAGGAGGGGTCTCACCGCCTCCACAACCACAAGGTTGCCTTGGAAACCACTGGACTTCTTTTCTGTCCCCTTCAGACACACAAACCCAGGCAGCTGACAATACAAGCAGGCCACCAGCAGGGTAGGCCCCACCCCATCATCCTTACCCAAATTAGTGGGTCCTTTCCCACGTTCACCCTGGCTCCCAGGCACGGAGGAGAAGCTCACGTTGTAGTTGGGCCGGTTCTGGGGCGAGGAGTGTGGCATGCTGGGCTGAGGCTTAGACTGTGACTGTTGCCAGCTGTAGCCACCCGCTTGCTGCCACCCACTGCCCATGGGCTGGGGAGATGCTTTCTGTGGTGAGCTGAGAGGTGGGAATCCTCCACCCAGGCCAGTTGGTGTGGTGGGTTTGCTGGCAAATGAAGAACTGCCTGAGAAAAACAAGATGTTATGGTCTAGATTTAAAATGTCCCTAAATCTCCTGTGTTTGAAAGGCGACTGGATTATGGGCCCTATGCTCATCGGTGGGTTCTTCGTGGATGCATTCATGACGGATGGTCTGTCAGGAAGCGGGGCCTGGTTGGAGGGGTCATTAGGGATGTGATCTGGAGGGGTGCAGTCTTGTCCCTGGCTCCTTCCTTCTCTCTCTGCTCCTGGCCACCATGGGGGCAGCAGCTGTCCTCTGCCCAGCCCTTCCACCATGCTGTTTCTGCCTTGGAACCTCAGACCAGGGACTGAGCCCACTGGAACCATGAGCCGAGTAAACCTCTCCTCCTGTAAGTCACAGGTGTCCAGTCTTTTATTCCAGGGGCAGGAAAGGGTAACATAAGAGGCTTTTCTGAGTCACCTCTAAAACTTGCATCTCAAGGTATTATTCACGGTAACCTTAGTGAAAACTACCTTCACTATAGCAGAACACTCTTCCTAATAAATAAATTTGCAGGAATATCTACTATTTCCTTAATCCGCACACAGTGCCTTTTTAGGTCTGTGCTCATAGCCTCATATTTTTATCAGATGAACAAACAGCCACTTAGAGTACTTAAGCAATTTTCTCAGTCACACAGCCAGCACCAGGACTTGAATCCAGACCTCTGACTCCATGCCAGGCGAGCTGTGGCTCTTCCCGCTGTGCTAACCCTCTCAACCCCTCAACTACCAAATGAGAAGGGCAAGGACTAAAACCAAGTTCCCTCACTGAGGTGCTATGTAAACTCCCAGGATCAGGATTAGTCCTTGCTTTTTTTTTTAAGTGGTGGAGTTCAAGGCTCAGACAGGCTACTGACAAGCTCGGGACCACACAGCGAGTGAACGGAGCTTCACCTGACCACAAGCTCCCGACCTCGCTGTCTCCATGTGAAGTCCCGTTTCCTCCCCGGAGCTCTGAGCCTTTCCTGCAACTCACCTTGCCCACCTCTCTTCTCTACCACCGTTTCCCCCCTGCTCTGATTCCATGACGCCTCCTCCCTTCCCCATCCGGAGGGTTGTATGTGGACGACGGGACCTGGAAGCAACCTGGGCTGGTGCCTCAGCCCTCACACTCACTCAACACACATGCTTGGACCCAAATGATCATTCATTCAGCACCAGGACTTGTCGAAGTTATACCATGGGGGAGGCCCGGGGAATGTGCAGAAAATATTCTTTCAAAACTGGGCGAGAAACTTCACCCCGTTGGACCTGTTTCCTTGCCTGTGAAATGAACTCTACACTCGTGTCCAACAGTGACTGGACGGCGGTGCTGCACAGCCCCGAACTAGGTGACCCAGGAGGTGCGCCGTGTCACGCAGAGGGCACATCAGAAGGGCGCGGCAACGGCAGGGCGTCAGAGAGGATGATGGCAGCTGTGCTCACGTGTGCCACCGCCCCACCGCTCCGGAACACACACACGCGCGCGCGCGCGCAGCACTCTCCTGTCCCAGCACACGACCCTACATGAAAGGCCAGAATTGCGTTCTGCACTGGGGCCATTTTATTCTTTAAGGAATCTCACTTTGTTCTAAATATGTCTCTTCATTATTTCACATTTTGATTTAAAAAATGGGAAAACCCAGATAACTGGAAAGAAAGCCCTATTTCCTCTTCCCCTGTGCTTTATTGAACTTGCTGGGTCAGGCACCGTCTACCTGCTGGGCCACAGGGACCCTGCTACTGAAGCTAAGAGCAGACAGGAATAAAAGGCAGCTGCCAGGCAGAGGCCACTGCGGGCCTCAGGCTCGCCTGCACATCAGAATTCCCCGCGGTGCTTTTTATCTTACTTTAAATTCCCATCTTATGCACCGGCCCAACTGGGTGTTTCACATTTCATGATGGTTTTTCTCTCCCAGCTTACTGCGAGCTCCAACAAGCAGGAATGTGATCAGCCTTGATTTTTACATCCTGAACGCTTAGTAGGGAGAAATCAAAATTGCTATGGACTGAGGGAGTTAGTGCCCCTGTGCGGAGGAGCTGAAACAGCCTCTCTCCCACGTTCAGCGTCACCCGCTTCAAACCTGTTTTCAGCTGTTGGCTGTTCTTTTGAGGCAGGGTCTTTCTATGTAGCCCAGGTTGGCCTCCAACTCACAGTGATGCTCCTGCCTCAGTTTCCAAGAGCTGGGATGACAGGCGTGCGCCACCACGCCCAGCTTCCAAACCTCTCAGACCTCTTAGTATGCAAGGGATAAAAATTCCTCCCGCTTCAACTTTCCTTTCACTCCGTTAACAATCTCTGCTGACGCCGCTGTTAACCCTCAGGTGATTCTCTCGCCATTACTGAGTCCAGACATCGCTCTATTGTCCCCTGCAGCCACGGGTAGCTGGCTCTTCCACTCCCACTTCCTGTACTGTTCTCACGGGTTCTCTGTGATGTATCCAGAGCCATCTTTCTAAAATGCAAAGCTAACTGTTGCTTCAATTTGCACTGTCTGAACTACACACCCAATCTGAAGTCCCTCCTGAGTTGGGGCTCTTTCCCCTGACCCATCCTATCCCTGTCACAGGTTTCAAATGAAAGCCATGTCTGCGCCTTCCCTCTCCCCAGTCCAGCTCCAGTGACCTCAGAACCCTGTGACTGTCTGGAACTCTTCAGCTCCTTTCAGGTAGATGCAGTTGCTATGCAACAGAGGATGTGGCCCTGGTCTGCTGTCTGGAGTGCTGACGCTCCAGGTGCCCAGGCGCACCCAGACCAGTTAGACCTGAATGTGCATGGCAGGAACCTGGGCACTGATCTCAGAGCAGAATTAGTTCACATACAACACACCAAGGAGGACTCTGCCCTTCGTCTTTTCTGAACTGCAGCCCTGTAATTTGAAAGTTTAAGATTTATTCTTCGAGAACTTCCCCTGGAGTAAAAAATTCTTCTGCCTTATAGCTCTCACTTGTACACCTGTTCATTGTGAGTCTTTAAGAAAGTCATTTAATTTTTCCAAGCTGTGCATTTAAAAAATGGATACATTTAGGAGACCTACTTCCTCAAAAGGAACTTGTAAGAATTATTACTCCCACTGGTCGTGCTAGCCAGCTCTCCATCCCTTGACAAAACAGTTGACACAACAACCAGAGGAAGAAAGGTTTTTTCAACCGCTGGCTTCAGAGTTTCAGCCCTAGGTCAGCTATTCCACAGCTCTGGGCCTGAAGTGAGGAGGAGCAACATGGCGGCCGGGAGCAAAAAGACGGGGAGAGGAGAGAGGGGAG